GCGTTCTTGGAATGAGCGTTAATCGCTTACAATCGCGGTTCCCGATTGTGCGCTTAAACGCGTTTTTCAAAATTTTTGTCTGGCTGGGTAGTGCTGATGGCGTTACACTTTATTCTATTTCTTCATATCATATAATCATATCGCTTACATAAAATGTACATACTTATATACGCAAGTAGAAGAGAGAATGCAAACAAGATGAGGCCAAGGAAAGAATCGATATGAGAAAATAATAGAGTAAGGACAGTAGCGTAAGAATAGAAAAGTGAGTACAATATATGTAATATACGAATCAATGAGAGGAGAAGTTTGAACATTATGTATAAAATCCAATCAACCGGAAGTGTTACAGATTAATCAATTGAATAAACTTACTTGAAATTTTTGAAATAAATGTGATGGAAAATTCCATTCGCAACAAGCATTCCATAGAAATTTCATAGCCGGTCGATCACATGTATTTTTTGTATCCATATCTGAAATGACGATGTTCAGACGTTTCTTATGATGATGTTGTAACTGCCGTGCATGCTCATTCGTATTTAAAAGTAGACGACACTCAACATGTGAACTGTGCCGGTCGTCAATATGATGATCGACCTTGTACAGTACAGTATGCTGTTCTAGATAATTCACCAAATCGAAACAAAACAAACATATACAAAACTACAAACATGCATATTAAATAAATAAGAACCAAAATCATACGTGTAATGTTTCCGATGTTGCAAAAAAAATAGGGTTATAAGGGAAACGAAAATTAAATTAAAAAAAAATATAGTACAAAAATTTATTTGAGATCATATACAAAAAAACAAAGAAACAATAATGAGTTTTTTTTTTTCATTTTCTGTCTTACTCGAAAAATGTAAATAGGTATGTATAAAATTATAGAATTCTACTTAAACTAAGTGCAAAAAAATTCTAGATATGATTGTGAATTCTCACATGTGTTTTCCTAGTCGAAATACTAAAACTATCTAGAAGACATAGATTTCACTTACTTTTTGATCGAATACTTGTTGTTTCAGACCTTGGACGTGGTAATACTTCACTAACATGTGAATATTTTATATGAGTTTTTGGTTGATAAAGCTAAAAAGACATATACAGAGAGAGAAAATAAAGAATTATTTACGAAAGAATATTTATTTCTCTTCATCATAATCTATTGTTATAGATACATGTTTGTTCGCACTAGCGCCAGTAAAATGACGGTCAAAAGATAGTCAATTATTTAGGTATCAAACTACTGGGTACGAGCCATTGAAGTCCAAAATTTTTCGACCCGATTTACAGAAAAATTTCAGACTCTACTATCAGAAAATATCGAACGATTTATCTTAGGTTATTTTGGACATATTCGTAGTGAGTAACATGAAAAATGAGTGTTCCTAGAGTTATTCCTTTTTCGATATAAACTCATAAAATAATACGATCTTAATGCTAAAAGCATCATTATCACTAATAGTCAGTTGAGATTCTAGTAATCAAAGACCTAATTTCAATCTAAAAGTATCATGTCGAATCATATATGCTCTCTTGAAATGAATCATTTTTCAAAAACAATCCGCACTTAGTAAGTTCCAAGGAATAAACAATGAAAAAATTCTTCTTTTTTCGGTCTATTCTCTTATAGAATGCATATATTTAAATGGTCTTTGATGACTCATGACTTGTTCATTTTCCTTTGAATTAGCATATAAATAACTGTTATTTATGTATTCCTTCACTTCTGCTACCAATATTTTCCTTTTTGTTTTTGCTGATTAAAACATAGTTCGAAGCGAAGTAAAGTATTTGAAACTCGAGTTTTTTTTTTACAGTATTTATCTTTGATAAAGATTTTGAAAAAGAAAATTACAATCCTAATTTTTCATGAAAAACAAATCTTAATTTACGGTGACAGTTGATTGATTATCTGCATTTGGTCGCTCGGAAATATGAGACCAATTTCTTGGTCGTTGTTTTGATGATGTTTCATGACTTTTACTACTCATTGAATTTCGTTGTATTTCATCAAGAAATGGTATTGTTGTATCATAACTTTGATCTTCATCTGTATTTGTTGTTTGATTTAATAAAAGATAACTTGAATTTTCAAATACTAATAATGGTAATGGTTGCATTGATGCTTTTTGTTCATAATCATAATTCTAAAATGATAAAATTTTATTTTAGAATAAATTTCTAAATATTTTTATTACTGTTCGATTTTGATCATATTCAATTGAAAGACTTGAATATGATAATTGTCTATTTGGATTTTCAAAAAAAAGTGCATTTTGAATATTTTGATCTTCATATTGAAATAAATTATCAAATTCACATGCTTTTCGTGCTTCTTCATTTTGTTGTTGTTCAAGTTCATCTTCAACTTTACGTCGTTCACGTTCTTGATTTTCAGCATTTACTTTTTGTTGTTGTTCTTGATATGACATTGAAACAATAGCTAAGATTAAATTTACCAAATAGAATGAACCAAAAAATATGACAGCAACAAAATAAAAAAAATGATAACGACCAGCAGCTGTCAGCACCTTTATAAAATAATAAAAAAAATAATTTGTTTTTGTTTTCAATGAAAAATAAAATATTTTCTTACCAATTGATAAAGATTTTCCCAATAATCTTGTGTCATTAATCGAAAACAAGATAACATAGCCCAACCATAACTATCAAAACTATAAAAAAAAAAAAACAAATATATCTTTCTGATAGGTAAAAATAAAATATTTTACCTTGTATATCCAAAATCAGGACTAAAAAAAGAAAACATGAATTTTTGTTTTTAAGAAAATTGGGAAAAAAAACAAAAACTTACTTTTCTCCTCGATCTTTCCAACAAACATAACCTTTCGGACATTTTCTACTTCCACTGGCATTTCCACAAAGAACATAAGCATCATCTTCTTTATACCAATAAACTATTAAAAATAGAAAAAAATAAACATGATGTATTATCTACAATTTTCTGCATCTACATAAATCTCATTGAGACTTTAAAAGCTATCAATAAACATACTTTCGTTGTCAATTTCTTTTGTATAAGCATCATAAGACATATTAAAACCAATCATAGAAAAATTCGAATTATTTAAAAATGAATCATGAGTAGGTACACATTTTTGTCGTAAAACACCCATGTAAAGTTGTAAACCTACCTAATAAAAATTACGAAAATAAAAGAAAAAAAACAATTTTCTAATATAAATATAAATCTATAAAAAGTATCAAACCAAAGCAAATATAGATAGAATAAAACTCGATAAGACAGTAACATCTCGTAGACAAATAAGAGATTGTATTAATGCATCAACAATCGTTTTAAGACCTAAAAAAAGAAAAAGGAATTTCAAATTAAGTAGTTCAAATTTAGCATATATCATATTTTATACAACAAATATTTCATACCTGGAACAACAGCAACTGTTTTCAATGCTCTTAATACTCGAAAAGTTCGAAGTACTGAAACATTTCCCAAATTGACAAAAAATGTAATATATCTAATGAAATAAAATAACAATTTATTCAATATTTTTTATTCATAGTTTTATACATACGCTAAAGTAATGACAATAAAATCTAACCAATTCCATGGATCACGTAGAAATGTAAATTTCTTAAGAATAAATCCACGTGCAACACATTTTGTTAATGCTTCAAGTGTATAAATTATTGTAAAAACATATCTATTTATTTTAAATAATTTATATACGTAATTAATAATAATAAAAATAAATTCTATTTACTCATTTGTTTCAGGTACATTTTTAAGTGTCATAAATATACAATTAGTTAATATTGTAAGCATAACAAATGTACTAAAAAGTGCATGTGTTAAAATTCGAATAGCCAAACGACGAAGACAACTAAATGGAGAAAATATAAAACATGCTGGAGTTGAACTAAATCGAAATATTGTTTTATTTCGATTAACAACCACAAATACCTAAAAATATAATAAAAGAAAAGAAAATTTTACGTTTTAGAAAATAAAACATTTACATATTCAGTTCGATAATACCAATCAATTTCTTCAATTGGTTTACCAATAAGTTCAGCAGGAAATTTTGTTTGTAATGCTCTTGGTAATGTTTGTCCAACTGCTAATTCTTTATTTGGTTTTCGTTTTGAACTAAATTGTTCATATGTTGGTGATATTTTCATTGAATTATATAGTTCACTATCGTCTTCACGTATTATTTGTCGTTGTAATCGATCGGAAGCAAGACGTTCAGCTTCCTCTTGTCGATAACGTTCAATACGATGTAATGATTCGGGTGTAAACTCGCGAAAAACAATCGAGTTGTAGTCCATCCTTATCGTCGACACTTACCATCTGTTTATACATACTTTTTTAATAATAATAATAAACAACAACAAGTGAAATAATTATCTCGTTGAATGGCATTGATAACTAAGATAGTTAAAAAGAAAAAAAGACAAACGATAAGTAAGAAAAGTATAACTTTACAAATCGAATATGACAAAATGATATAATCATCATTAAGTAGACCATTCTCTCTGTGTAACAGATGTTCACAAGTAGGAATGTATGAAAAGAAAACGAAATATTCGAGATATTTCTTTCTTTCTTATTGTTTGATCTATTGACTTACAGATAAGTTTCATTTGATGTTTCTTATTATTTTATATAGGTTTTTTTTTTTCTTGATCATATATTCTTGTAAACACTTTAATCAATCAATGACTAATTTTATGTTGTGAGATGAATGACTAGAAGAGGATAGTCGCGCGTCAACGACTTAAATAGATTGATTTAGAAAAGGGTGGTGAACATCACGCAGCAACAAAACGTCTTCTTCATCTATCGCTTATTTAATCTTATCTTTTTTTTTTCTTTTACTATCTCTTATGATGATCATCATCATCAACATCAGCATCATCATCATCATCATCATCATCGTCATCTTCTTCTTCGTTCCATCTCAGATCTCTTTTGAACAATTGTCATGTATAGACCAAGAAAAAGAAAACGAGAAAAAGAAATATAAAGACTTTAGGGAATAGAGTTTTTTACTATGATTCTCAAAGCATTGGCGATCGGATGCTAGAAGAATATCGATCTATCTATCTATATGTTTTTTTTTTTTTACCAATCGCTAATCGTTATTGAGATCTAAGCTCTAAAACCGTATCGGCTGACTATTGAATATGTCTCGTTAACTTAATATTGATGTTCGTTTCGTTTGTCCTGTTCATCGATATAAGGTCAACAAGAGTTTTCTATGTTACTATCATTTCTTCATCATATTGTTTTCTTAAGCTGAAAAAGAAGGAAACAGTGAGTGGGTGAGTGACGAAGAACTGATGACAAGAAAGAGAGAGTAACAATCGAACAGTCACGCATATGGGTCCGGATGATAGTGATGATGATGACGACGAAGAAGAGAGCAGCATAACGTTCCTAAATCCGATTTCTTCGTTGATTAGCATATCTAATAAAATGCTCTGAATAATAGACCGACTACAGGGAAGATAAGAGAGAAAGAGTAGCGACTCGTTTCTTCGTTCAATATCAAGTTCAGATCGTTCACATCTTAGCTGTCAGTCAAGGCAAAAAGACAACAAAAGAATACTAAAAACATCAAGAGAGAGAGAGAGAGAGAGAGAGAGAGCGACAGAGAAAAAAAGCCAAGATAAAAATTCTTATAGAACAATTTTCGAAAAGAAAATTTATTCCAATTCAATATCTTAATATAATTATGTTTTCAAATACAAAAAAAGAAAAAGCTCTTTCTCTTTATTATTATTTTTAATCAATTCAATAAAAAGAAAATATTTGTTTTGTCTTTCACGTAATATTTTGATATTTTTACATTAGCATTATCTAAGACACTGTAAAAAAACATGTCATGTCTTTAAATCTCTAGAGATAACATTATGTTCTCAATTTTGCATCATTCTATATAGACTAATTGATGTCCTAAAATTAAAAAAAAAAAAGCTTGAAAAACAACACAAACAGAGTTCTTTTCTTTTCATAAATATACAAGTTTTTGCATTTCCGTACATTATATTCTTATTATAAATCACCTCACGATTGAATCCGGAAGGAACAAACTTAACATGAATTTTATTTATTATTGTTTTGACATGTTTGATTAGACTATAAAATAAGAAAACAAAACACACATAAGATTTATCAATACTCATAACAAATTAAAAGTTCTTTAAAAAAAAAAAAAACAATTTTGTTTGTATTTCTTTTTTCTTGTTTCTAAAGAATTTCTTTAAAATAATAACATATGTTCTTTATTTTGTTGAATAATGTTCATATAAAAAATGACATCATTCACTTGAGTCTATTAAACAAATACAGACATTCATTGTACATTATCGTTATTCTCTAATGTCATTCATTTGCACTTTTTTTTCATTTAATGTCAATAATAACAATGACATGAAGAGACGAAAAAAGAAAAAAATCTTATATACGTTAGCTTACTATTGTCGCCATCCGTTTCCACTTCATTCAATAGGACTATTCGATATTTTAAGAGTAGTCACTACGACTAATGTATATGCATAGTGATCTATAGTTACATATAATTATTCATCAATCTGTTCTCTTTCCATACATTTTGATTGACAAGAAGGTGTATGTTCACGTATGTCAAGTATACAATTATTACATAGAAAAAAAAAAATCTATTGACAAATTTTTATTGTAATTATATTGAATAAAAATTTGATTTCAACTTTAATATTTTACTATTTAATATAAGAAAATTGATTGATTATACAGTGGTCATATTTACATTAAAAACTTATGAATCTTAACCTTGATACGACTTTCGATTAATAGATATGAATAATAAAGTATACAAGCCAATGAATATGAATCTATAAAAGCTAATAGAAAGAATCTTCATTTTGATTACCTAATGATTCTATCCTATTTATGACTTAACGAATATCTTTTTCTTCTCTTTTCACTCGGTTTACAAATAAATAGAAGCCCTAAAAATGATAATATTCTAGAATAAATGTCAAATATTCATATAGATGATGATGATATTGTTCGTTTAATTGCTTCTAATCTTTTTTTTCTTGCTTATTAAAGATTGAGAGAAATATATGCGACAGAAAAGAAAGTAACTATTCATTCCAATAATTTCACATACACATCTATTCTCCTAAGGCTTCGTATTCGTCGTCTAATTGACGGTTGTGTATTGAAAGTTGTCCATAATCATCATCAATATTCATACTGCGAGACAGTTGTTGCGTCGCGTCGACCTATATATAACAAACTCTTTTTTCTTCTTCTTTGTAACATGAAAGAAAGTGTCAGAGTATGAGTGAGATGCCATATTGATTCAATACCGCTCCTAACGCTTAGTGATGGGGAAGCCGAATAGTGATGACAGGTACACTTGAAGTTTTCTTACATCTAAAAGACACTATTTGTCATCTTTTTTTTTTCTTTAACATTTTATTAGTCAACTTGTTGATCGTACATGTTCACCATCGCCCGTTCCACCTTTACCTCCACCACCAACTGATTTTGATATGAATTGGCCGACAACATTAAGTCAATCGGAGCCAAGTTTTCAATCACGTCAAAGTCAATTGTTAAATCGTTTATCTTCTACTGCTTATAATTCATCATCGTATAAAGTATCAATCGGACACGAAACAGTTAATATAACAGAAATTGCTCGTCATCGTGAATCATTATCAGATCGAACAATACCAATGGCAAGTGTTGCTGAACGACGTCGATTATCTGCATCACGAAAGGGTGCTAATATTCTAAGTTTATGTTTCATGTGTTTCGTTTCTGCTTCTCTTATACTTATTGCTATTTCTACGATGCATTTAATGCTAAAATCGAATCCTATTAATAACAGTGATATGATTCCTCATATAACTCAATCAATGAATGTTACATCTAATATTATCTATATGATAGTAGCACCAATACCTGTAACAGATACAATTTCAAATCTTATTATACCAACTTATGATCGTATTATACGTGAATTAGCTACAGTTATTTGTCTATTAATTATTGTATTGAATTGTTTTTGTGTATTAATATTTAGTATTGAAATTTATCTTGGTTGTAATATGACAAAAGATAGACCAGATACTTATCGGTAATATTTTTCTTTTGTTTATTTTTAAAATAAAATATTTGCTTTTTGTTTTGTTTTTTTTTCTTATTAATTTCTAGTAATTGTACTTATTTATTCAGTTCTTCAACATCACGTTTTATTGCTATATGTAGTTTTTATGCTTCGATACCAGCATTTATTCTTGGTATGATCAATGAAAAGAATTTAAATAATTTCTTTTTTTGTTCTCTCTCTCTTCTTTTAATTATATATTAATTTTTTGTTTTGTTTTTTTAGTTATGTGTTTATTTATATTATTAAATATGTCACTTATACCAGCTATTACATCATTAATTGTTCTTGGTTTTGGTTTAATATTTATTCTTATGACACTTTTAACCTATTTTTCAACATGGCAAAATAATAAATTTGATGGAAAATTAGGTGGAATAAATTCATCTATATATCATACAATTGATGCTACTCATGTATGTGATGATGATATTGATATAGCTAAAACAGATGAACTTTCAACACTTGTGTAATATGATTTTTTTTTCCTTTTTGTTTGATTGATGTATATTTAAAATATAGATAAAATAGAATTGTGTAGATTATTGTTTATTCATAGATCATGAATAACATACTTATTCTTAAAAGTTGATAGAAAGAGTTTGTAATATGATATGATAAAAAATATTTAATTATTGACTTATTTGTCTGACAACTTATAATAATGCACATAAAGTATCTTTTTCTTTTTTTTTATTTATTTATTGGTATATACTTGCTTTTTAAGAGTTGCAATATAATCGAACTTGAGACATTAAATATTACTTTGACGCATCAATTATACCTGTATGGTCGACATATACTTTTAAATAATATAATTTCGTGAAGCCTAGAAGCAATACAAAAAAATTTTTTTTCTTTACATATGAAGGATTTTGTAAGATAATGTTACTCTTAAAAAATAGGGGCTTATTCATCTGAAGGGTAAATATTATAAGAATTACGCATATTTCGCTTTCAAAATAAAAGCTTCTTGAAGACTTTTATTTTTCATGACTTAAATTTTCAAAAAAAAAAAAGAAAATAATTCTTTAATTTATATGTATTACTTGTTTGATTAAGTTTATATTCGTCTTTTTATTTGTTTTGTCATATATTTGTTTAATGAAATTATGAAAAACAAGCATAAAGAAACAAAAAAAGAAATTTATTTAATAATATGCAACACAGACAGAACATGGAAGAAGAAAGAAGGAAAGAAAAAACAAAATACCTCAAGCCAAACAATAATATTAAAAGTCGATACTGTTTCACGCCGTAATGACATTTGACATACGAAACAACAGTAATTATACAAAAAACACACATACATATATATATATTTATGTATTTATATATATAGAGAATGAGTGTGATACGTTGAGATCGTCGCTCAATTACTCTAAAAGCAAAAAAGCACTGTTTCCGTGTACAAAAAAAAGAAAAAGAAAATTAAGATCAACGAAAATAATAATAATAAATTTTATATCAAGACTTTGATGATGGATGGAAGAATTTCGAAAAGAATCTTTGTGTTAATGTTTTTGTTGATACTGATGGATTAATTAATGTTTGGGATGAATTTGATAGAGAATTTATTTGTTGTTCATCTGTTGTTGTTGTTGTTGTTGTTATTGGTGGTGATGATAATGACATTGTTGCTATTGAATGTGGTCGAGATGAACAATATGTTACAGATGAATTTGTTGATGATAATGATGATTTTCGATTTTTATATTGTCTATTATAATTTAATGATGGATCAATATCATTAATAGTTTTATTTGGTGGAACAATTAATGTTGTATGACGTTCATTATTTGGTATATGTCGATTAATAATTTCATTTTGTTTTATTTTTGTTTTATTTTCATGTAATGATGGAGTTAATATAGTTGTATTGGAAAAAAATTGTTTTCTATGATCACGATTTGTTTTAGAATTTTTCGATGATTTTTGTGATAATTTTTCTCCATCATGACTACGACGAACATGTACAGGATATTGAATATTTTCATTACGATAACCATGAGCAATAAGACCATATTCTCGAATTTGTTGCATTTTAACATCAAGTTCATGCATAAAAGCTTGCGACATTTTACTATGATTAATAAGAATACAATTGTGATTAAGTGTTTGAACAACTAAATATAGAATTAAAATATTGTAAAAATTTTAGTTTTTATATAATTGGTGAGAAGATGAATTTTTTATATTATTTAAATATAATAGACTATACTAATTTACTGATTAACTTTTGGAAGATTTTATTCCACTTTTATTAAATGCTCTTATAAAAGAACCTTTGAGAGTCAATGTTAAATCTAGGTTATGTTTCTTTTTATATATAGAAGTAGATATGTTTCAAGTATTCATCTGTATAGTTGAGATTAATATTTAATTAAAAACTATTTCTTTTCTAGAAATGAATTCATTTTTGTCGAAGTGCAAAATATTTTCAGATTCTTTGTTTACCTATTTGTCTCAAGATTAAATATGATTATTAAAATTTTTCTTTTCATCCACACATCCTACTTATATATTTTGATATTGTCTTCTTAAAGTGACATCTCATTTATCTATATTCTAAGTCAAAAATATTAAAAATTAATATATATATATATATATATATATAGTTTTGTTTGTCATACTGAATGACCAGATTAAAAATAAACTTAACTGTCATTTGTCTCCTGTATTAAGATAATATAAACAATTATTATGATCAAGAGTATATTATCATCTTCAATGTTGGCATTTATACATAGACTTATAGTAAAAATCTTTCGTAAAAACATCATTGCTTACACGGAATTCTTTTGTAAATATTTAATAAAAATATTTTGTTTTACTTGAAAGAAAAACATGAAATCTTAGTAGTTATTAATCATTCATGAAAATGTATGTCTATACAGTATTTAGTTTATACCGAACGAAATATAATATATAGACTCTTCTATTACTTACATTTAAGTAAATTTATTCTATGACGATGACGTCTAATAATATGTTTTTGCTGTAGTGTTGATTTGATTTTTATATTTGTAGATAATCGATATTTGACGAGCGATGTTCCAGTAGGCGTCATGGCAATGACAGAAACAACAGCAACGCCGACAATGAACAATAAATGGCTTGTGAAAAACGATTAAACATCAACTAGTTTGAATTAAAATTATTAGAATTAATTTGATTTGTTTATTAATAGAAGAAAATAATTGAAGATAATAAGAAAAATTGTTTTACAAACTCAAACACAAACATAAATAATCTAAAAATGAAATATAAAACAAAAAACGCTTATTAAACATGTCTAATTAGAAAAAACAATTGAAGAAGAAAAAAGAAAACTAATTAGTTTTGTTTGAAAAAAACACGAACATTAATTATTACGTATAGTTCTAATTATAATAAATAAATAGAAAAAAAACATAATGTTTAGTAATTGTCTTACATATTAATTCATGTCACTAGTACATTGATCTTATATGTTTATAATTTTATTTTCAGATAAGAGTGTCAATTTACTTCTTTCTTCTTTTTATTTTTCAATAAAAATTTCCACTTACTCTAGGTATGTTTGAAATAAAATAATATAATTTCTACATAAGAATTGTTGTCGAAATAATGTTATCACTATTAAATTTTTCTCATAAATATATATATATATACACAAAAAACGTACTGGTTGGCTCGAGTTGTTTATCCTCCGATGTCACTTAGATAAGGTTATATGCCATATCATTCTGTCGTCAATTTTACTTCCTAGAAAAACAAGACACTAAAATATATTTAATTAAATGCGTACACGTGTGATTTTTAATTTGTTTTCAGCCTAATGTCTATTACTATAATTTATGGAAAAAAAATTATATACTAACTGAACTTTGTTTTTTTAACCTGTATCTATCTATCTATCTATATATATATATATTATTAAATCAAAAAGTTTAGTTATATATTTTCTAAAGACATTCTTTTAGTCTTACTTGAATATATATATATATATGTACAAGTGAGTTGTCTAGCAACTAAAGTAATGAACTAGTTGAGTGACTACTTGCAATGCCGAACAGTACGAGACGAGTGACAATATAGAAGGAAACTGGCAGCACCGAGACAGACGCACTTTTTTTATTTTTCTTCGTTCTATTTTTCTTTACTTGGTCCAATCTTGTCGCTATTTTCTTTATGTTCTGTATGTCTGATTCTCTTGATTTTTTTTTTCTTTTACTCTCTCTCTCTTATGCTCTGCGTCTGTCTGACTGTCTGTCTGTCTGTCTGTCTGCGATGATATAATGTCTGATCGTCATCATCGTTCTCTCGTTCGACGCACTGTTGAGTATGTGTCTCGTCATATCAATTTCCGTTATCAACAAATACACTAGACAGAAAGCCATCATCTATTTCTTTGACTAATTGTTGCTACAAAATAAAGTAAAATAAATAAATATTCGAATAGAAGAAAAGAAAAAAAAAAATTTTTTTTTTAATTATTTAAATGACTTACATATCTAAAAGAAATGAAAAAGAAAATATTTTAATAAATAAATTACTTTGTTGAAGTTTTCTTTTTGTTTTTTTTTTAAAAGAAACTTACTATTCTTAACACTAGTATAAACAATTTCTATAAATAAAAATTAGACCAAAGATAATTTCAATCATGAATTATCTTATAAATTTTTTATATTCTGTAAGCTTTTAACATGTTAAGATCTATTTTTATCCATTACTTAACATTGATAATAATCAAAAAAACATCAGAACAAAAAGGAAAAAAAAAACATGTCGTCTGTCTGGACGTGTTTTATGTCAATAAATAAATAAAAACCAAACCTATACATTAACAGAACATAAAGAGTAATTTTCTTTTTTCAAACTTTCACTAATATTAATCATAATATAAATGTTATCTCAAATAATTTCTTTAATATTAGGCAATTAAGAATAAAAACATAGGTTACGATGTTCTCTCTAGACCTATCGATAGAATAGGTTTTCGCTATTTTATTGTGTCCTCATAGAAAGACAAGAAAAAAGAAAAAAGTAGGAGTGCTATTTTGTAATATATCTTTTTGCATGACAAACAAAACAATCGTAATGATTGATTAGTTTGTCAGTTTTTGAATGAAAAATAACATTAGACAAACAACATATTTTTGTCTACATTTGTTGATCTCAAAAGCAATTCAATTATACTTGCAGCACTGGATATTTTTCTATTTTGGTGTTTTTCTTTTCTTTCTTATAACGTATCAATCAACACGATCGGCTAGATTCATAGACTATTATTTATATGATTGTTCAAAATATAATAAATTACAGTTTCTATTAAACACATAGTACATCACCTTCTTTTCTTTATGATCAAAGTCTTGAACAAAAAGTTTTATTTTGAATATATATATTTACTCTCGGTGGGAAATTATTTTTTTTCCGTTGAACTCAAAGAACTTTAATGAATATTGTAAGATACGATGCATAGAAAAAATGTTTTCTTTTTTTTTTCTTATACTTACGTTAGAAACTTAAAAATAATGCTATTAGTTTATAGACTATATCATGCGGAAATTAATATGAAAATTAAATGCTACTAAATAACGCACAAAAACTTCGCCTAGAATATTTCTTTCTTTCTTTTATTTTTTTTTTCTTCTCGTCTGTATCTCCCAAATGCTCTTACCAAGGACATTATCGTCGTCGCTGTCAAACCGACTAAAAATACTCCCTACTTAATTACATGACACTTGAGTTCTTTTTTTTTCCGTTGTCTGCTTTGTACACATAAAATAATTTGTCATGCAAATTCTAGGTATTAACAATAGCGGAAAATTAATATGGAATCTAATTTTAACTAGAGATTTCAAATCAAAATATATTTCGTACAAAAAAAACAAATTACTTTTTTTTCTTTTATCCTATATTATCGAATAAAAACTGTTCCAGTAATTACTCTCATAACATAGGTTATAAAGTTGAATTAACTTCTTTCATCATCAATTCGTTGACTTAGAATATATATATATGTATATATCTTGTCCGATAGACTAAATAAAAAACATGTAACGAACCGTCTCTGTTGCTGCTGCCACCGACATCGTCTAGACAGTGATGTAATAACAATGGTGAAGTAGAAGAAATGAAATAGTTAACACTCCACTATGTAATGTTTTTTTTTTATTAGAACACAAAAAAAAAAAAATAATCACAAGATAAATAAAACTGACTGATGTCTAACAAATAAATACATCAAGGTGATATGGGTGTTATATTTCGTTATGTCTAAATTTAGGTTAATATGCGTTTTTAATTTATAAAAAAACAACCTTTCCTATGAGTAATCTATTCTGTTAGATAGCTAAGAAAAAACATTTTCAACATAACCTTATGATATTTTGTTATGAAAAGATGGTTATGTATTCTGGCAATAATGTCGTTTTTTCTTTTGTACTTTAGACTTGACATGAATTTCGAAAGTATAAATACTTTTTGCACTTTTTACAGGAGAACTTCGAAGTGCAAACACAAAAAGAAGAAGAACAAGTCTTGTTTTTTGAGACAACTTTCTTCTAGTCGGAAAGGATAAATTTGCAGAAGAACATATTGTTAAAAAAAAACAACTTTTAATGATTTGAAACGGTTTGAAAAGAAAAATAGTCATGTCAATAGATGAGAAAGAAATGTAAATAGATTCTTATTAAATTCATCGATCTTTCTTCTTCTTTTTTTTTTTTTTTGTGAAATCTGTTAAAGTTTTATTCGATCTCATCTATTTCTCTGGTAACTTACCAATACATTCGATAATAACTTACTAGTCGATTTGATCAATAAATCGATCTAGAATAAATATATAATGCATTATTATGTAATGCAAAACGTTAAGTTTATGTTAAATATTGATTGAAATCTTCTTGGTAATAAATAAGTAACTAGTCACATGAGTTATAAGACTATATATTCTTTGAGTCGATCATTGTTGAGAATTCTTTGATTTCGTGACAAATATATTCAAGTATATATACATTTATTTTTTATTTTTATAGGAGCATATTCGCATCATATAATTTTATACTCTATAATGATAATCTTCTTGTTTTTCATATAATTATGTTTCATTTCTAGTCCTTCACCTTCAACATAGAATTTTTTTTTCTTTTGTTTTCATTCATACATATCAAAATAAATAATTTGAGCATGTGATAGTTAAGTTTTTGTTTTGTTTTTTATCTTTATTACAGACGACGGTATAGAAGAAGAAAGTAAAAGAGAAAATCATGGCATCGCATGTTGATATCTGACCAACAAAAAAAAAAAAAAAAGACAAGATAATAACCGGTCAAATATTCTGAGTATCAACGATCTGACATATAGAAGTAAAGCGTGAGATGAAAAAAAAAAAAAACTAGATGATAAAGAAAAGACATCACGCTGTATACACAGATAATAATCAAACGAAAAAGTTCACATTATACGTTTTGATAATACACCGGTAAGAGAAGCACCATCAGTGGTCACACACTCTCAAAGAAAAAAAAAGAAAAGAAGATATGAAAGCAAAGAAGAAACATACACGCACACACACTGCTGGAAGAGCACAAGAGCGACTTAGAGGTTTTTTTCTCTGTAGAGACATTCGTTAATAGAAGAGATCTGAGCAAAAAAAAAATACTAGAAGAAAGAATTGTAGGAAGGCTTTTTTTTTTTATAAATCGAGGCCGGAAAAAAATATACTATCGAATCAATATTCGCTTGTCATAGACACATCATTTGTTGATGTTGTTACTTGATATTGTCCTGGAATGGTTGGTAGACTCATTGAATACATATATGGAGGTTGAACATAAGCCTAATAGACAAAAAAAAGGAAAACAAATAGAAAATATTTTTTATATATATAAACTCAAAAATTATATTAAATAAATACTCCATTAATTAATTGTCCACCTGTTTGATGATTTGCCCCATGTGTATAAAATGTTGGATAGAAAGATGGTGGTAATTGCTAAATAAATCAGTGTCAAAATTTTAATTTATTATTTATTAGAATTAAAGTACCGGTGGTGGTGCAGCTTGAGGTACTAAATAAGTTCCAGTCATTGGAAGAAATGGCATCTGAATAAAAAAAAACAAAGAAGAATATATATATATATTTAATTTAAATCTAGAAAAAATAAATTCATGTTTTATTTACATTAGCTTGAACAGGAAAGAATATTGGTGGATAAACAGCTTGAGGAGTTGATATCGGTTGTTGTTGATGATGATGATGATGATGAAATGGTGTTGATGATTGTTGAGATATGCCATTGACTGCTATTCGTGAAGGTGTTGGTGGTGGTGTCATGGTTGAACCATTTACAGGATAATAAGATGAAGGACCTAGAAAATGAAATATTTTTTAATAAAATGTTAACTACTTATCTGAATAATAAGAGTTGCTATATAAAAGAAAAATAATATTTACTCAGAAGAATTAACCTAGTCAAAGACATAAGAAAGAACACGAATAGAAGTTTTTTTAACCCTTTTCGAGAAAGACAAGAACTACTATTAAGTTTACATGAAAAAATAATTTGATTATGTGCTAAGATGTCGACGTATCGACTTTTCTTTTGTTTTGATGGTCCTCTTGGAAAGATAAAGTGCTTATTTATATTATTGCACTGAACATATGACTCTCTTTTCATGACTTTTCAAATAGGTCATAGAGAATATTCATTTGTTCTATTTCATATTTCTTATCGGAAAATAAGACAAAATAAAGAAGTCAATTTAGAATTATTTTCTAATCATTATTAAAGAAAAACTTATCATACTTGTTGATGAAGGAATATTATTTTTTTTATAAGCCGGTGCTAAAATAATCGGATGATTTTGAAATGTAATTGGTACAATAGCATGTTGTCGTAAGACATCTAATGCAGTATTATCATTAACAAATGAAATAAATGCAAAATGTCTACAAAAAAAAAAAAAAAGAAAAGATTTTTTTTAATTATTTTACACATAGATAATTCTATGAGAATTCTATCATCATTTACAAAAGTAAAATTTTCAGCATGGTTTTTTTTACGTTGATCATTTTGAGTATTCAGAACTCCAATTTTTTTTGTTGTCCGTATTGAAGTTAGGTTAAGTGTGGTTGAATGCGTAGTTTCGCAAGAATTTAAATATGGTCTTGACTTACATTTTCAGATGTTAAAATCGTAATTTTTTGAGTTTAAGTTTAGCTTTTGAAGTGTTCTCTATCAAATGGCATATAAATAAGAGTTCTTCGTACTTTTATTAGACTTCATCGATCTCTAACACGGTCAGTTTTACGATCATTTTAACTCGAGAAAGAAAGTCCTGAGCTATTCGCAAGGATATACACGCACCTGAATATGAATTCTAATATCCATTTCAATGAACAGTGCAGTCGGTTGTAAGTTGAATAACTTCGGCTAGGAAACAGCTAGAGACCTGCGGTTTTCAGTTTTGAATAGAAGGGCAGCAACTTTATATGGAAATATGAGCAAAACGGCACTATCCCAAAATTTGAGGTCACCTGCCTGCAAAATTTGCAGCAACTTGCCTAAGCGTCATCACTGACATTGGCATTGAGTTTTTTTNACAGTCGACGTGAATAGTCTCGCAACACTTTTCTACTTCGAGTTGTGTATTAAAGTTGCACCATATCAATTCTGTTTCGTAATATTTACATGTAGTACAGGGCAAGTAGTATATATTTATATGCACCTTTTTAATATGAAAAACCGTAGAATATAAAACACAATAAAAAGAAAACTTTTATGTCAAGAAGAAAATGACATGAAAAGGACAAAACCTGCTGAACCGTGTGAAAATATAAAAGAACAAATGCTACCCGATTGTTGAATTACTCTCACCTTAGTTAAACTTATAATAGCAACATTATTTTGTCTTTTTCGTGTCGTTTTTTCTTAGCATTGAAGTTTCTTTCTTTCTTTTTTTTATTGTATTTTACATTCTGGAGTTTTTTTTTATAAAAAATGTATAAATATATATTACTTTTCCTGTGCTATGCATGTACATTATGGAATTAAATTAATGTCGTGCAGTTTTAATAAATGACTCAAAAAAGACAGGTGGTGCGAGACTTTTGACGTCGACGATACTTGTTCAAATAAATTGTTTTCAACTTTTTCTCTACGTTTAAGCAGGGGTGGGTGTGGATGTGGATGGGGGTGGAGTGTGGGTGTGGGGAAAACGATTACTCACACCCACACCCACACTCACACCCACATCCACACCCACGCCCACACCCACACCCATACCCACACCCACACCCTCATCGTATACTCTGCCGCTGGGCAAAAGTGAAAGTCTGGTATTTTATGCAGCATAAACCAATTTCGACCAATTCCTGAAATTTATCAATCAAAATCAAAATCGATTTCGTCTTATGAATTACGAGACTTCCGATAATTCTTTATGCCAGTTGCGTTCAGTTTTGAATGCTCTTTCTGAATCTAGTAATAGATTTTATCCCAAGGAAAACACAAGCCTCAAAATCAGTTGGAATTGGTCTGAAATTGGTCACAAAATGTTCAAAATTCGAATTTCGACAAATTCCAGACCAATTCCATGACGTTTATGTTTTATTTCGGAAATTTCGATCACAGTTTCAGGTAGAGCAAAAAAAGTTGATCATAACTGATGCAAACAATAGAAAGCCAGTTACACTTTTAACAGAAAAAATTGTCATCTTTCATATCATGCTCTAGGAATTGGTTCATCCCTACCATTAGCTAAACAACGTTTGAGACCTTACGACGTGGCTGTTATTCCAGATGAATCCGATAGTCTGAATAGTCTGTTACTGTTTACTAACGATGGACCCAAATTTGATTCGATCATCTCCCGTTACACATGTTACAATGTTGTGAAGTTGATCGTCTCCTTATATTTGGAACTGGAAGCTTTATAACAGAACAAATCGATGAAACATCTGAACAAGATTTGATTGAACTATTTGGTCATCAACTGCAATGGCCATTTTTTACTCTTTCCTTTTCTACTCTAACGCTAAAAACACAAGTATGACGCATGAAATTGATTAGAACACAAGAATCGGAAACAAAATTGGTGTTTAAAGATATTGTTGCGTTGGTGTTTTATTGGTATGCTATACCGTGGTTGCTAGAAGATTCCAATGTGGAAAAATATCAAGATGTTCTATTGAAATTATATCATAACGGACATACAGAACTGGTATTTACTAGTAAATATATGCTGTTAAGGGCAATTAAACTAGCAGACAAATAAGTACAAAGATCTACTGCGTTTATGTTTCTGGGATATTTTATAATAAAAGAAACACACACTGCGAATAAAAAATACTTCTCTACTGAATTCAGTACCATAATATTTCAGACAGACAGAGAAACGAGTAAACAGGTATTTAAACATCTTTAGTCTAAACTGATAAAAATCGCGTTTTTATGAACATGTTAAGCATTTTTAACAGTTTGCAGAATTTTAGTTTTAATTTGTTAAAAAAGTTCGATATGAATTGTTTCTCTTGCGGTTCGAAACGTTAATTAGAGTTTATAACCACGTAGTTGAGTATAGAAAAATTCAATATTCAAATCGAGTCAGAACTTCTCGTTCACTCTTTATATGTACAAAAAAAAAACAGAAATCGAATATTTGTCATAATCGAATGGCCAATATTGGTTCTACACGATATATGGGATTTAGAACAGATGTTCCATTTGTGATGGCGTTTAATAAAATCCAATTCAAATTTCGTTGCAATAGAAAAACAAGAAAAAGCAATGATATCGATAAGACGTATTGTGATACTGATTTTTTTCTTCTGTATTGTCCAAGCACGAATATCGCCGGATTATGATTTGCCTATTTACAGCGTCACTGGTTGTATACAGGGTAAATTTCATGTCTGCAATATTATCGACATATTTGTATTAACTGATGAGGCGACAATTCTATCGATAGTTAACATTAATAATGCTGGTCCATGGAGTTTATCTGCATCATACTTGGAATTGATGAATCGAAATGGATCAACCGTACAATTCAGTACATCAATTATCGGTGATGTGAGTGAACGATGTAGTTTCGGAGCTAAATTCATTCCATATTATAATAACAGTCAAGGTAAAGAGGATATGTGTCCCAAATAACCTCTTTTGTTTGTTTTGTTTTTCATTTTAGGCAATGCCGTTGTTCTCATGTGTTCATCATTTACTTTTCCTGGTGGTGATACTGCCTTTTTTAGGCTGAAAATTGATCCTTTCACATCGAATATCACTGCTATTGGCAATCCATTAATATTTCATTCCGAAAATTCATTTGCAAGATTCTCATCTCAACCAGTAACGCTGTAAATAGGCAAATCATAATCCGGCGATATTCGTGCTTGGACAATACAGAAGAAAA